GGTCTTTTATCATAACTCCTCCATTTATGCAGCTAGGAACATGAAATTTCGCACCATTTTCACTCATTATTAACAGAATACTTACAGTGCAAATAACAAGGACCGGGTGCCTATAACATATATGTATCTTCCATACTTCTGATTGTTCAGATATGGGATTTTACTGTAAAACTCCTTTATTTGAACAGCTACAACCGATAAATTTCGTAAGATATTTTATAAATAATAATACAAAGTCTACTGAGAAAATCGTCAAAATCTATGCTGTATAAGCTTTATCTCCTATACCACTGATTGTTCAGATACCAGTTTTTGCAATATATCTCCTTTATGTAGGAAACTAAACCCAATAAATTGTGTTACCGGTTTACATACCGATCACATAGCAGTGAAAATCACTTAGATCGGTGCTAATATAAGGTATATCTTCCATACCTTTGATTGTTAAGATGCGATTTTTTTATATAAGTATGTAACTCCTCTATCGATGTATGCAGATGTATTCAAAAGCAGTAATCTGTCAAAGAGCCAATTTACACGACGACTTTTCAGCCTTCGTTTTTGGCACGTTCCGTTTTAAAAAAGTCTTCGAAAATCCTCGTGCATTTACACGATGACTTTTTCTTTGCGGCGTTTCTTGCGTATTTTTGACATTTAAGCGTCAAATTTTCTTTGGTCAACTCTTTCGTCCTCAATTTTAATGCTGAGTAAATCGCGAACTCAAAACAAAAATACGAAAAAGTGAAGTCGATAAAAGCAAAAAGTCAAAAAAAACCCCTCGATTTCGCTCTCCGTGCGTGCTTGCCTACCCCGCTGACTTCGCTACACTTATTGCCAACAAGCTCAAAGTAAAATTTGCAGATGTTCATAAAAGGTATGAAGCCTTCGGCATAGCCGAAGACAGCGCTGCTCCTACTTGTTTTATTTTAAATAAGACACTTAAAATAACTGGATGTCTGACTCTTTATTATCACCCAAAAGAGATGTTTTGTGAACTAGAGTAGCCTAACTAAGATTTGAAAAGAACTCTAATAATATTATAATTGTCTACTGAATTTCTAATCCTTACCATATTAAGTAGTAAGCGATAGAAAAGTATTAGACAAGAATTAGGGATATGAGACAATTAACCGTAGTAAGATTTTATTTTATTGTGTCGTTATTGCGGATTACCATCGATATCTACAAGTATAAATATTGTATTACTTTGTAGAATTAAATCACAACCAAAAATCGGTGAGGAAGACTCTTACTCGCATTTTGGAAGAAACGAAAGTAAGAAGTCAGAACCATACAGAAAGGAAAGTGGCCACCAGTCTTCAAAAAAAAAACCGTATACCAGTCTAGATGAATTCAAAGCATTTGAAAAAGAAATTCAAGAACATCACTCTAAATTTAATAGCCTGGTAAGCTTTTATTTTAATTGTTGTGATATTACTTAGAAATTAAGCAATTGATAATCCATTTTTTCAGGTGGCTGACTTATCATTAGTGTTTTCACAATCTGCGGAAAAGTATGTAAAGGCTGCCTGGCGAAAAATATTATCGGATGAAGCCGCTCAGCATTTATCTTGGAAGGGCACAGAAACCAAAATGTCAGCTAGATCACTAAGTGTGACAACGGCTTGAGAAAGCATTTTAATTTAAAAATAAAAATAATTTTTCAAAAATTCATTTTCCTAATATTTTTCAGGCTCATTTTCGAAAAAATATCCACATTGTTCGGACAGCAAATTCGAAAGGACTAGTATTTCCTTTTTTCAACATGCGGAAACTCGTTTTTTCAAAAAAAAAAAAAATACAAAACCAGCAAGACTATGTAATATGTAAACAAATACTTTTACTTTTATGAAATGCAACTTTTTAGTTTTAAATGTTACTTAAGTTAACTGCTTTATTATGTTATGAAGAATTTATTTTAAATGTTAAATGAACTAGTATTTTCTTTTTCCAACATGCGAAAACTCGTTTTCTCAAGAAAAAAATACAAAACAAGCAGGACTGTAATATGTAAAAAAAATATTTTTGTTTTACATGTATGAAATGCCATTTTTTAGTTTTAAATGTTATTTAAGTTAACTGCTTTATTATTTAAATGTTAAAAGACTGAAAATAGCCTTAGCAATTCAGCAGCTGTAAACCTATTGAAATTATTTTATCTTCATTTTTTCTTTAGATTGACACATGTATGTACATCGTGAAGAAAAAATAAATATGAAATAAACATATGTACATTCCACATAATAAATTTTATTTCCACATTTAAAGTACATTTGATAAATAACCTTTGAAATTGATTTGAGAATTAACCATATTCTCAAATGGAGATCAAACTCCCCTTTTTATTGGGAAAGCTGTAATTTTCTAATCAATATCAAATCATTTTCAAACGTTTGACATTTGAGAAAGGGCTTTGATTTCAAATCATTCTCAAATGTATATCAAACCTAATTGTTTGCTGGGAAAAATCCCTTGAAATAATCAACATTATTATAGAATTTTGGAAAGTGGGCATGGTACCGCCCACATCTAAACATATAAGTTTATCTCATTAAGTATAACTGAACGTACTATCGAAATTGTTAGAAATAGGGGTAAAACCACTCTTCCTACCATGTAGTGGTAGTTTTCAGAAAGGTGGAAAACTATATTTAATACTTCCATCGGGTATTTAATGTTGGGCTCCACCCGACCTTGGACGTTTTTACTTGTTGAGACTGTTTTATTTTTTTTTTGTTTTTATCCAATGTTTTTACCCGTTTAGTTTCTTATTAAAATATATTTTTCAAAAAGACATCCGGGCAATCGACTGACCAGTTTTTGAAAAAATGCCCGAAATCTATATTTTCAGCAACCCGATTTTTAGTTTTCAGGCGATAACATTGTGACATTTATATATTTCATTAACACAAAAGATAGCGTTAGATAGCTTGTTTTAAGACCCTTCTACTTATATCCACATCAATGACATGGACTGAATATTGCGGCCTCAGTGGTAGTTTAAAAAATTGCATTTTTTCGAAATTCAGGCAGCAGCCACGCCCACAAACTAACTATATTTAATACTTCCATCGGGTATTTAATGTTGGGCTCCACCAGACCTTGGACTTTTTTACTTGTTGAAACTGTTTCACATTTTTTTTTGTTTTTATCCAATGTTTTTACCCGTTTAG